TGTCGCAGTTCCTGATACGTACTCACTTGGTCGTTGACCAATGCTCGGGACAACCATCCACCCTGAAATATCGCACTCAACCAATGGCGTTGCACCTCGTGTGACGCGTTCATGACGCTGTGCACTGATTGGATAATCCTAGTGAGGAAGTCACACCGATGTAAGTGATCCGAGACAGTGTCGTTTGACAAGCAAGCGCCTATCGATCAGAGAGAAGCAGAATGTGTTGGAAACGAAATGAAATGAAACAGCCAGGTGTAACTCAGAGTTCCGTAGCCAAGTCACTTGGAATTTCACGAAAAACTGTCTACAATGTTTTATCCCATCGAACAACTATCGCGGAATTTTTGAACGCTGGAGCATCTGAGGGAAGATGCCACCTGAAAACCAACGAAAAATTCAAGGCAGTGAATGAAGCTACTTTGGCTTGGTTTGCCGCTACAAGGGAAAAGCACGGAGAGTCCCCAATGGTGAAGAGCATCGTACGTAAGAAGGCAATCCAGCTAGCACAAAGGTTGCATCATACTGACTCCAAGGCTTCCAAAGGTTGGTTTCGCTCTTGGTCAGACAGATATGGTATTCAGTCGTACAAAGTAAGAAACAAGCAACTCATGTGCCTTACTTTATAGGTCTGTGGTGAAAGTTTAGCGGTACCACATGATGCAATGGACGAGTTTCGAGCGGGGTTACCGCAGTTGATACAAGGATATGCTGACTGTGATATTTTCAGTGTAGATGAAACAGCTTTGTATTACAGGCAGCTCCCAGAAAGAATATTGAGTCTGAAAGGAAGGGTCGAAGAAAGCCTAAGCGAGAGTCACGTTACTGCTTTGAGGGAGCATGACTGATTGGAAAGTTTCAAACTCCACGATGCCTCCGAGGTATAGATAGAAAAAGCCTCCCATGCAGTTATAATTCTACAAGGAACGCATGGATGACTTCTACGTTATTTCACAGTTGGCTGTCCGATATCAACCGCAAAATGGTTTCTCAAAGACGATCTATTTTAATACTTATGGACAACGCCCCTTGCCATAACCAAGCCGCAGTATTTTCCAACGTCAAATTGGTACGGCTGCCGCTGAACTGTTTGTTCTTCGATGTTATAACCAATGGATCAGGGCGTGATTTGGTCTTTCAAATGTTCGTTTCGGAAACATTTACTGGAATATGTTTTGTCTTTGATCGAAGACGAGCAACATATCACGAAAGCCGAGGTGGACATTCTCATGGCCATGCATGTGGTTAAGAAAGCTTGGGTGTCTGTGTACCCGCACGTACTGATCAACGCTTTCATGAAACCTGGGTTCAAATCCATATTGATTCAGCCGGTGATGCAGCCACCAGAGGATAAATGCGATCTGATCGAGGACTTTACACATCATGTGTCTACTGATGGCCGTCTTTTTTAAGAAATCACCTGTTTGGAATTTGATGAAGTGGGTTATTTAAAATTTTTATATCAAGTCTCTTTTTAGTCATTAGATGAATTCGTTTCGAATCAAGCTACGCATCGCAAAGAAAATGAATGTGAGGCAGTGAATGCCTCAATCAATCAATCTCAATCAGAGAGGCGCAGAAGTTATTGGATCAATTGAAGCACTTTGCCTTGGCTAATGCTTGGAGTTCGGGTCGATTATTGGAGTGTACAATTGATTTAAACAGCGCTTTTGTTGATTTCCAGCGGAGAGCCAAGCTGATACAAACGACGATTTATGATTTTACTAAAAAAGGCATCGTTCTAATCTGCGAAGTTTTTTAGCAATTCTGTGGTGCACTGAACTAAAATGTAAGGCACTCGAATGTGGTCATTTTTGCTACAGTGGTCACCAAAGCCACGGTCATTCGGTCTATCGATGGGCTCTGTCGCACTAACGTGCAAATGGGTGAACGATAATCGCGAATGCCTGCTAAGCGGGTGAGTGGAGTGAGATGTCAGATCCGAGCAATCGATAAACACCGTCGCGCGGACGAGCCGGTGTGAATGATACGATACTCTCACTTGTACCAGAGCACCGATCAAATTAGACAGGTTACCTACCAAAGGTTATCGTAACTCGGGTCTAAGGGGAGATTTTGAAATGCACTTTTAGTCTATGAATCGTTGACTGCTTGAGAGTTGCCGTAATTCCCGAAAATCACACGATCGGTCGGATAAGTCACCGCAACAAGAGTCCTGGCGCTTGCCCACCTAGCCCGAGCGAGCAACAACACTTTGTTTACAACCTCGAGTCTTTAGTAGACCCAGAGTGAACTTCGGCTGTACAGCAGGCGTGCCTTTACCACACGGATGGACTGCGCATGAGAACAAGATCGTCACAAAAATACAGGACAATGTGAAACGATGGAGCAATCGAACTACCGTACTATCCATATAGCAAAATGACATCTTAGATTGATACTCGGACATCTTAAATCGAAAAAGGTGTGGTTTATGAATCACGCTATGGCACCACGTGTTGAACTTAGTCCGACCAACAACAGTCATGATGAATGCATCAGTCGATTTGAACATACACTGGTAAGAACAAAAGCGAACGAACGAATAGACGTCTGCAGACGTTAATTGTACACATGTTTCACCAGAAAATCATGAACAGATTGCAAAGCGAACCATCAGTTTGAATATGAGTAGGAAGTCAATGTTCTGAGTAAACCCGGTAACAGATATTTCACTCATTTTAGACGTTATTTCTTTCTCAATGTATTCGAACTAGTTTACCTTTGTTTTTCTTTAATGAGTTAATTATGATGTAATTATCATAGCTCAAACAGTTGTATATTATGGTGAACGGCATATAATCAATCCTGTGGTTAGCCTAACATTGCAACGAAATGGAGGAATATCTGGAATTAATATGGGATAATTGGGTCAGTAAAAGCTTCCTGTAGAAAGATAGGTAGTTTCAGGATAACTAGATACATCGAACTCAAAAAGGAATGAATACCGCATGCAATGTACCGATGAAGATTTTAAATTTCTTCGATACATAAAAGATACGCAGGACGGTAGATCTAAATTCCTTTATCAATAAACAGTTTATAGTTATAAACTTTGGGAACAGTTAACGGGATTAACCAACTTTTCATCGGTCCGGTTTATTTTGTGACAAAACCGTCGACCAATTTGTATACTACTTATTAGCATCAACTACTGTTTACCGTGTTATGTCGCAGTTCCTGAAATTTACCCACTTTTTCGATTTCCCGAGGGACACGACATAGCGGGAGACTGATTTTATATATATATATATATATATACCCCCGGGACAGAAGCAATCGGTTCAGCATGATCACGGTCGAACAGATCACCTCATTGTACATACCAAATTCAAGATGTTCGATTAAGGTAGTCAAACACAACTATGAGAGAGATTTCGACTTAGTTAAACCACTATAAGCAACAGTTCGGTTGAGTCCTAACTTGAGGATTGGCGACGAAAGATATTCAAATGAACCCAGAGACCAACAATAGGCTTGTCGGTCCGCATGATTCCGTTCGCTCACCGGTTTGTTATCGATGCAACTTAGTGCACTTTTCACCTCTCCCCGGATAAAAATTGAAAGTAAAAAATCGTTGTAGCATCACCTCGCAGCACAACGTGCGATCTGTAGAATTATCTGGATATTGAAGACAATTCCAGTTAGACAATTATTCGATACATTTTCCTGGTAGCCAATGGGAATAGGGTAATCATGACTAATGAGACAGACTGTGGCACGATTGAGAATCCGTTGCAAGTGCGAAATTCGGATTGGATAGTTCGGTGACGTCAAGCGAGCATTCTTTCAAGTTGTTCAATGGGTCTTATT